GTTGCCTTAGGGTACGTTCACACCACATGCACGCCCCCTCCAGCCCCACGAAATAGTGAGCCGGCAGCAATGCGATGCAGTGCGTTCCGGCCGGAACGCACTGCATATGGTGTGAACGTACCCTAACACCTACCGTTAGTTAAAATTGATCTAAAACCATTTTTGTTTAGTTTTGGATAGAGTAAGAAAAGCTTTCGACTTGATATTATTCATATATAGTTTATGTATCTAACATTAAAAAAAAACAAGAAAACACCAGTTACCTATTCACAGTGATAGTAGTCAGAATAAATCTCTGATGTAGTGCCATTAAACAAACAGCGGGAGGCAGCAGAGTACACAGATCCCATCAGGACCTCAATACGCAACCCAGCACTGGCTGCATCTGATATTCCCATCATATCTCAGGCTGCTGAATACTGCCTGCGCGCGTACACACCTGCTATTCCTTTATCTGAGCTGCCACTGAGTTTAGAATTCATTAACTCTAATCCAGCAACTAACTAACTCAAGGATGCCAGCAACCAAGGAGTTGTTAGCACAGGCAGGGAGAGAGGCCCTGTTCACTTCTGACAAAAAGCCATCATTACGCGGCTTAAAACAACACAGCCAACCGTATGGGGAGCAGAGAACATTAAACATTGATAAGAGAAAACATCTGCTCTCTGAGCTCTCTGCACTCTTCAACATCCAGTACATTCTATTAGGTTTCTGGACCGATCTACCGTGGTTTGACATTGTTTTAAGAGAATGTATGTGTAAAAATGAAGAGAAACACGCCATTCCCAGAAGCTGCTCATTATGTCTCGTATTGTCATTACATTATTTATTATTTAAGTAACCATCCCAGACATAATGTCACAGGTCAAGATCTGCCTTTGTTACAAGTTTTCGAAACTCTCATGCAAATGTCCTCGGCTGCCCAACTTTTTAGGACGGTTATACATATTAGGGTACACTCCAAAAGCAAATGAAAATTGAATCTTGAATTCCACACAAGAAACCATTTGTCTCAAGCTGACCATACCCCTTACAACCATTGCACCACTTTCGTTGTGCGATGGTTGTAAGGTGATTAAAATCTCGTACGATCTGCCCATCTTGGACAGGCAGATCGTACTTGCGATCATCGCAAGCTCTCCCTGCTGAGGGGAGGGCTTCCGATGATTGCAGTGCTGAGCGGGCAGTGTGCGCTTGAGCACACCGGCCCATGCTCCATTCGTCTTCCAAGCACGCCACCAACCCGCCGAAAATCGTACCATTTTCGGCGGGTTTTCCAGCGTGCTCGGAAGACGAAAGTCGTGCAACCGTACAGTAGAAGCGGTCGCACGCCTCCCATGCAGCTGCTGTATATCGTACGATCGCGGGATCACCTGCGATTATCGTACGATAATCGGCAGGTGTATGGGAACCTTAGGGCTTCTGTTTGGTGATATTATGGTGATAGTATGGATCCAAGATAGGAACTGGCTTCTACGATTTCACATGGGGTTGAGCACTGAGTGGACAGCTCGCGTGTACTGAAGGTTCTGCAAGAGCACTTTGGAAAGAAACTGTGAAGGACAGAGCGTCATATATCAAGTTTTCATTTTATTACTGCATGCCAATCTTTCTTTGCTTTCTTTTTTCATTGATCTTTATTTTTGTTTTTTGTTATTATTTTAATTTTTTCATAAAAATCGTTATTTATTTTTTAACATTGATCTTTTATTTAACTGGAACAGTTTTTTTTCTACGTTTAAAAAAAAAAAAAAAGTAAACTTTTTTCATTGTTTTACTATTCTGCTTGGTACGACTGAGGTACCGAGCAGAATAGCCGAGCCGAATGCCGCTCAGCTATTCACTCACTGTCGTTCGGCACCTATGAGAATAGCACGAACGGCAGCGAGAAGCCTGCCAGAGGTTCAGCTCAGCCGATCCAGATGTTGGATGGGCTGAGTCGAACTCCTTCTGCACTTCGGCACAGCTGAACATGCTGAGCATGTTCGGCCGAACCAAGCCAGCCAAAGTACAGCTGAAATCAGCTGTACAAGCCTGAAGTGAATACCTGAACAGCGTTCGCCTCACTTCACTTCGGGTTGGCTGTTCACTCAGCTTTGTGAATAACCCTCATAATGTTCAGAATTGTGTGGAGGCTCAGCCATGAATGGTTCTCTTTGAGTAGCAATCTAGGTTCCCTGGCTATTTTAAGGCATCAAATCCATTGACAAGAACAGTAAAACCGTTGCTGCTCCAGATTTCTTCCAGGCCTGAGCAATCTAGACGGTCTTTATTCCCAAGAAAGAGAAAAAGCCCAGCAGTGATTATTTACACAATCGGTGTAAATGGAGTTTGAGGAACTGATAGAGCTGATGCCTACACATTTATTCACAACATTCTCCACAGATATCACTCAACGTTCCTCTTATTGACACATAATCCGGAGGGAGCATGGCAAGTCAGAATTCTTTTAGCACATAACAAACCTGGAAATCAAAACAAATCTGCCAGCTATTGTCGGTAGTTTTTGTAGCGGACTTTAAATCAATATATATAAAACACGCATCTGCCGGGCGCATTAACAGCAGACAATACTCAAAGGCTTGCCGTAATTTTTGAAGGAAAACATTCGATTCTGTGCTTATATTTTTTTTTTAAGTCTTTTAAAGTTTTACAGAGAGACCTGGGAGACAGTATAGACGTAATGGGTTTGGTGAGAGGGGACTAAAGGAATCAAAAAGCCCTCAGCTCTAATCAATGCGTAGAGCACAGTAAAGTAGTCACATGTCTCATTCCATCACATATCCCAAAAAGAGGAGGGGAACCTCTGTCCCTCTAGCTGTGGTGAAAACTGCAAATCCCATGAGGGATTGCAAGATTCTTACACCCACAGGCATGACTCCCAGACACAAATGCATCATGGGATATGTAGCTTCGCCACAGCTGGAGGGCCGGAGAATCCGTACCCCTGCTGTAAAGGAATGATTTGCATTGCTGCACCCTCTGTCCTGAAATGAGGAAAAATGATTTAATTTTTGGATACATGATACAACGAGACATGCGACTACCTTTATCATGCTATGGCTATTATTAGGGATGCACCGATACCACTTTTTTAAGACCGAGTACCGATACTTTTGATCAAGTACTCGCAGATACCAATTACCGATACTTTTTCTTAAAGGGACAGGTCACATTTTTTCTAAAGCAATACAAACGAATGCTTTAAGGTCACTTTCTTAATATTATGATTCATGAGATGACGAGGGAGCATGACGCCGGCTTCCCGGCCAATCAGAATGCCGGGCGCTACGTCATTACACGGCGCTCAGCTTCCGGATTTGCTAGCTTCCTGACCAATCGGGAAGCCGGGCAGCGCGTCATTGCACGCTACCCGGCTTCCTGATTGGCCGGGAAGTCGGCTCCATGCTCTCTCATCACAAGTGACGAGAGAGCATGGAGCCGTTTCCTGGCCATCAGGAAACCGGGCAGCGTGTAATGATGCTCTGCCCGGCTTCCTGATACAGGAAGTACTTGTGCTAGGTATCGGAGCATTTGGGCGAGTACGAGTACTCACCCAAATACTCGGTATCAGCACCGATACCGATACTAGTGTCGGTATCGGTGCATCCCTAGCAATTATTTTTTATTCCTTTATTCCCTTCTCAATCATTACGGTTACACTGGGTCCCGAACCCTACTCCATAGAAGCCATGGTTTCCATACACTGCATTGATGAGGGCCAAAAAGCCTAAAACAGCTGACACAGTTTGGCATAAATGGCTCTATATAATTAGGCTATGCTGGGTGTGAATTTGGCTAATTGGGGCATAAAGCAATGATTTGCATGGCTCGGCCCACTGTCTTGAAAATTATGAATAATCATAAATTTTTGGGATACGTGATGGGATGAGACATGTGAATACCTTCTGTTTTAGTGCACGTTCACACCGGGTGCGCTGGCAGCCTTGCCCAGCACATTTCTAAGCCGTAGACAAGGCAATCTGCCTTGTTTTCAATCTGCTCGGTTCATACTAGGGATGCACTGATACCAATACTAGTGTCGGCGCCGATACTGAGTATTTGGGCCGTGTACTCATACTCGTCCAAATGCTCCCGATGCCTAGCCCGATACAGGAACTTCCGGTATCAGAAAGCCGGGCAGCGATTTACTACACGCTAACCAGGGGCGTAACTAGAAATCACAGGGCCCCATAGCAAAATGTTGTATGGGGCCCTGTGAATTCTAGTTATACCCCTTGCAGAGCCCACTTGAGATCCCACACAGCCCACCTGAGGGTGACCCTGCAGAGCCCACGATAGACTCTCTATGGTGGGCTCTGCAGGGTCATCCTCAGGTGGGCTGGTTGCACTCCTTACCTGTCCGCCTCCTCTTCCTCTACGCTCGCTGATGGTCCCCGCCTCCTCCCCTGTCGCCGGCGTGTTCCTCTTTAGAGCCGCCAGTGAAAGCCACCAGCAGAGGATGCCATAGCGACCCAGGTGGTCCGCTCGGCATCTAGCTGGGCCCCCCTGTGCCCCATAGCGGCCGCCTGGGTCGCTATGGCGCTTGTTACGCCACTGACGCTAACCCTTACAGTGCGAGGGAACCCCGATTGGTAGGGTACGTTTTTTTAAATTCCCATAGTGCTCCTTTATGCTCCAATATGCTCTAGTTGGGGCTTACACAATACTATGAACTCTCTCATCAATCAACATGTGACAGCATTGAGCTAATCATAAAGCACTGGTGCTGACACATAGAAGGAGGGGAATGAGTAACATCATCTTCCCCCATATCTAGAAGTACTGGGTATATTCTTTGCTACCGGCAGCTGAGCAGAGCGGTGAGGGAATGAAGGAAGGGTGGTAATGTGCTGCTGGGGAGAGGCCATTATAGTGACGCTACTGCCTTGCCCTACATGGACACAGCACAGGTCAGCGTGAAGGTAAAGATTACAATAATAACTCAGAACGTGTGGTCACTGAAAATACACAATAGTATCCAACTCCGGATGTCTCACCTTCATCGTTATCCTTCCGCAGGTGGTCAATCAAATACTGGATGGGGTCTTCTGGTCTGTCTATGAGGAGCTTCTGCACCATTTTCTGAAAAATATTATTGCGCAGATTTGTAAAGCAAATAGCAGTACATAGAATCATTCACATCGGTCCCTTCCCAAAACAGCTAACACAGTCTCTGCCACAGTCAAATACACACAATATCGGGACAATTTGGGGGGAAACCAACTAACCTGACAGTTTGTTTTCTCCTCTGAGAATTGACATTCGTTGTTCTGGGCATGTTCTCTTTCCAATGTAGATATATGCACTGATATGCCTCCGAGACCCACTCTGTGAGGAAATGCGGCCACTTACTGACTTGGCAGAACCCACATGCAGCTTAACTCTTCAACAAGACACCGAAGTGGAATCCAACATAGTTTTATATCAGGTAGGTGGATTGCAAAAGATGTTTTTTCAGCCTTTTGAAATGTGTAAAGCTATCTATACAGATTTGGATTTCTCTCATTCAGCCACACAATCAATCATTCATTTCCCCCATCCACACAAAACAGCATGCGTGGAGGAATATCCCCTGCCAGCTACTGTGTTCAAACAGGCAGCAACCAATAGCTGTCTGGTTCCACAAACAGTGACTACATCTGATTGAATACAGACACTGTTTAGCTGACAAATTTCCACCCAGCTCCTTTACTTTTTCAGTTAACTTTTGTTGACCTGGGTGGTGCCAACAGGGCTACCCACAGCTCAGATATCGAAAATTCAAGCTGTGTATCAGAAGGCAACGGGGGAATTCAATAAAGTCCTAGCACCACTTTTCTGGTGGCCTGGATCTTTTAAAGGTCCTTTCCAAAATTCAAAAAAACCCCATCACCAGTTTCAGTAGCTTTACTGACACCTGCGACAGATTCAGGTCGTTTTTAATTATGCCGCTATAAGAACCTGTGGCTATGGCTGCGACAGATTCAAAGAGAATTAGCGCCAGTTCACAGATTAGGAAATTGGTGCTAAGAAAGATCAACTCTGATCTGGCATACAGAGGGGGGCTGCAGGGCGCTCGCCCCAAGCGGAAGAGGACATCCCATTAACCCCTTCATGACTGAGGCCTTTTTTTTTAAAAAATTAAAATTACTTAAAACCCCCACACATTATATAATTTCTGAAAGCCGAGACCCTGTAGAACAGGGGCGCCCACTATTTTTCGTCTGGAGATCTACTTTTCAAATGACAAGCTCATTGAGAACTACCAACGAAAAAACACCTGCATTCAGGGGCGGGAGAGTGCGATCGCCTGCATTATTGCCTGTGTTCCAGTCCAGTGCGATCTGCAAAAATGCTGCGAGCACTATTTTTGCAGATCGCACTGGACCGGAATGCAGGCACTAATGTGCCTGCGTTCCAAGTGCAGGCGATCGCACTGTGGGCGATGCCATTGACTTCAATACAGCTCCACACCCCCTCCCGCACCGGAACGCAGGGAGTCGGCCAGCTTACATTCCAGTGCGCCCTACAGGTCCCGGCGTCCTGTCCTCCCGTGGTGCTCGTGTGGCCGACGTTGCACATGGGGTGTCCTGCACCTTTCCATCTGCAGCGTCTGACACATTCAGCCGGCAGCCGCACGAGCACCACGGGAGCATAGCCAGTAGCGCAACTCCTTATCAAACCCCCAGAATTTTGTGAAACATGCACTTAAATGCCCCAAAACACAATAAAATACCAATTTGTATAAAAAAGTATAAAAGATGAGGTTACAACGAGTAAACGGATACCCAACATGCCCAGGTTAGAAATTGCATGCGTCCGTGAAACGGCGACAAAATTCAGTACCCCAAAAAGTCCATAGACGACACTTTAAAAGCCCCCACAGGTCATCAGTTTAGAGATACCCAAAAATACTGGTCCTAGAATTATTGCTCTCACTCCGGCATGTGCGGTGATACCCAACATGTGTAGCGCGTTTGTTGTTTGTATACGTAGGCACACCCGGCGCGTGTTTACATGAAGACGCGCATGCTCGCGGGGGCGTGGACTTTTAAAAAAATGTTTTCATTATTTTTACTTTTTTTTATTTAATGTTAATTTTAAAAAGTGTTGTTTTTTTTAAACTTTAATTGCTATCACATAGGGGGGATTACAAGCGCCCTGTGTAATAGCAGATGGTGGTGACAGGTCCTCTTTAAGGTGATGCTGGGGGTCCAAAAGACACCTAGTAGCGACAGTCGGCTTTACAAGTTTAAACAGAGTCCAGCCGCCTTTTCTGTTTAAACAGCCCCGATGCGTGAAGGGGTTAAACGCATTTCTATGAAAGCACGATCACTGAGCTTGCCAGGCGGCATGCAGCGACTTCGGTGTTAGAACGCGAGTATTTGTTTATTTGTCACCCCTTCAATGGTGGCACCCGGGTGCGGGCCGCACCCCACGCGTGACGCCACTGTCTCCCAACTCTCACTATGGTCACTATGTCGCCCAGAAGAAGGGACCCTGCGTGGCCCCGATACGTTGGCTGTTTGACGATTTAATAAAAAGTGGTTTACTTCTTGCACATATCATCGAGTGCTGGTGACTTCTACTATGGAGTGTATCTGACACGGCGCTATCCGCGTTGTCACTTCGAGCACCAACCTCTCATCCAAGGCCTGTACGCTGTATGGAGTGCAGGTGAGTTTGTATTATCGACCTCTCCAATGGTGTCACCCGGGTGCGGGCTGCACCCCCCCGCACCCCCTTTGTGACACCACAGGTGATAACCCTGCTAGCCAAACACGCAACCATATGTAACACTAGTTCTACGCATATATGCTTGCCCAGTGATCTGTGCTGAATGCGTGCTCACCAGTGCACTCCCAGGAAACAGAAAGTGACGCTGACTCCCATCTCCCCCTCCCCTCCCCCATACACACCCCCCAAGCCTTATACATAACTTTTATGATAGTCTTTCAGCTGCTCCAGAGACATCACAGAAGGATCGTCTTCTTCTTCTGGCATTGCCGGTTATTCTTCCAGGACTGAGCGCCAATGACGTAATGACCTGAGGCCCCCCCCCCTCAGTCCTGGCATACTGGGAGCCCAGCCTGTGTGATGTTGTGCTCTGCATGCGGGGTGACTAGACACAGAGGTGTCACTATGCCGGGTGTCACATCATAATGCGTGTGTGTGATGTAATTACACGCGATTGTAATGACATCACGTGCACTTAACTGCCCACGGCCATCTCAGTGATGGATGCCGGCAAAGAGAGGAGAGGACGTTCTTTCGGTGGGATAAGGTATGCGGCCGGGTCTCCTCCTCTCATTGTTGGGCTCTCGGTACATGAGTGCCTGACTTTTCAGAGGGAGTGACACCAAAATGATTGTCAGTCATTTTTGTGTCACCCATTTGGTATCACCCTCTCTGATGGTGTCACCGGGTCCGGGCCGCACCCCCCTTGTGACACCACTGTAACAGGTTGAAGGTCACAGGAAATGGGCAGAATGATATGGCAGCTGTGCCCGAAGAGGACCTAAAGCGTTGGACCGAGGATGAAGCTGGGGACGGTACTGGAGTGTGGAGAGGAGAATTATTTCTTTACACATATGGGGAAGGGGGACTAGAAATGAAAAAATGGTGCTGGAGTTCCACTTTAACAAGAAAATAACTTTTGTCTGGAAGTCCACTTTAATGCTTTGTGTGCTTGAAAACAGAACTAAAACACAGAAGACTGCCCTACGAAAACATCACAACGTGCGTGGTGTACTCGGGATCTTGGCTGGCTGAGAGTTGTAGTTCTACAACACGTGACTCCACCCTCCTCAGCGTCCTCTGCCCGCTCACCTGGATGATATCGAACACCTTGTGCTCCTCCGCATACACAGCCATCTGCGGGGGGATCCTCAGGGGCTTGGTGGTGGCGTCCATCTCTCCACAGTTCTCCGAGCTGCAGGCCTCAGATTTCCCGGCCAGGCGGCAGCAGTGCTCCTTAGCAACGGAACCAACTCCTTGGTTGCCAGGCGACCAGCGTTTCTACGGACTCCGCGACGTCATCGCTACTCGACAAACTCCGAAGTCCCGCAAGCGCGCATGCGCAGTAGGTTGCAGAAGTTGGAGTGTGAGCTGTGCAGTAACTGGAACGTCTCCAGTAATAAGACTTAAACGATCTGTACATAGCCGAATATACATTCAGACTGGAATTCCCACTTGACTCTATAATGTTTAGTTTAGTAAAGCATTGTGTATCATTAACAATTGTCATCTTTTAACATGAAATACTTGTTTTCACTATTCACTTTGTTACATCTCAGTGATGCTGATCTCCTGCACCCTGTCCTTGTCTGCATACACTCCAGCTATGGCTGTATTGGATATCTAACAACAAAGTATGCAATTGTGGGTCTTTCAAGGTGTCAAAACAAGGATGAAGAAACCACAAATATATCCAATAAGTCATATATTTATTGAAAAAGATAAAATAAACATCTATATTACAACATGTGCAGAATTCCAGAGCAATTAAAATATACACACTATGTGAGGGAGAGGTGAGATAGGGATGGCTTGGCTGGAGGAGTCAATAGTGGTACTCAGAAGGTTATCTAGTCCCAGTTCCAACTGATAATCCCCCTTTGCTCCCCTCTCCCCATGTCCTCTGGGTGATGGGGAACGTTCCCCTGAGATATGGATTCATCCACCATCAGATGCCCAGAAAATGGCTGCCACTTACCTTTCTGAAGAAGCTTCAGTGAATCGCGTAGAAGGCTAGACCCATCGCGCGTTTATGAATACTCGCAGGATACAAATTATGATGACAGTTCAGTCAAGTGCTATGAGGACATTGAGACTTGTGAGGTTCATCAACCCATTTTATCATATGTAAGGTAGCGACGTGGTCCAAAGGGGTTTTATGCAACGGTAGAAGCAATTGTTGTTGCTGCATATTCTAATTGCTGTGGAATTCTGTATATGTTTTAATATAGATGTTTTTTTTCCTTTTTCAATAAATATATGACTTATTGGATATATTTGTGGTTTCTTCATCTCTGTTTTGACACCTTCAAAGCCCCACAATTGTGTACTTTGTTGTTGGATATGTAAGTTGTAGGGGTGTGGTGTTGTGTCTTCTCTGGTGGTTCATATATATTTTTTACGATATGGCTGTATTGGATATATTTTATTGCAGGTTTCCTGATGGTGACCAGTAATGTTCGGGGGCTGGGTGCGAACCCAGATTGCCTGAGTTTGTGCAAGCCCGTGCAAAACTGTGGCCGACACCCTTCTTCACAGGGCGGTCAGTTGCGACAGGGACACTCCCTGCCCTGCAGCTATACATCACAAAGGGGTGGGGAATGCCCTGATCGCAGCTGATTGGGCTTGGGGGGTATCAGTCACAGTTTTGCGTGGGCTTGGCTGAACTCAGGTACCTTGGATTCCCACCAAGCCCCTGCACAGGGCCATAGCTAGGGCGAGGTGACTGAGACACTCGCCTTGACGCAGGTGCAGGGGGCGCAAGCAGAGCTCAGCGCGGCAGGGAAGTGGTGCGGCACAGCCTGCAGCTTCTCCTCAGGCTGGGGAGAACAGCGGGGATCCGAGGAGAAGTGAAGAGCTGAAGCCGCCGGGGGAGGGGGGGCGGAGGAGGGAGCTGTCACTTTAGGATGGCTGAGCGGTAAGGGAAGAGAGAGCTGCTGGGCCAGGATCTGACAGCTGGCGGCTCTCTCCTCACCACTCGCTTTACATCACTTCCTGTTCATTCATAGAGTTTCTGCATGGGTAGTAGCACTCAGTACAGAGGCTTCTCCCCATTCAGGAGCTGGTTGATAATAACTATTTTCTGAATGAATGAGAAGCCTCTGTACTTTCCATTCATTTAGAACAGATGCTGCAGAAAAAGAGATTGAGTCCTCAATTTCTTTTTCTATTTTAAAAGGGAAATAGCAGGGGGCTGTTTAGACCCCCTAATATTTCACCGTAGTCCTCCCGACAGAAAAAAAAAAAGAAAAGAAAAAAAATAATATTAAATTAAAATAATAAAAAACACTGTGCGTGGGCGGCGTTGGGTGACGTCACATGCCTGTTGGGGAGGGGCCATTTTTTGTTGTTCTTGCCTCGGGCGCAAAAGTAGCTAGCTACGGCTCTGCCCCTGCACATAACGAATGGTGACAACAAAGAAGCATGACTATGCACTGTGCGTTACAGAAGCCCGTGTGACCAGGTGACATCACAAGAGCACAAGTGGGACACAGGGTTAAGGTGCATGGAAAGGGATCTTCATGGCAGGATCACCAGCTTTTATTTTAATGACAGCTTCAGACTGAAATAAATTGAAAATATCTTTGGAAACAACATTAACATATTC